CTCACCGGCTCACTATTCGACCGCCTCCTTCCAAATAATTTCTAGTTCATCCTTTATTGTTCATCTTACCGTTCTGAGATGTGCTAATTCCGTTGCCGTTCCACCACTTAAGTATAGAATTACAAATATAAATTGCTGTTCAGAATATTTTAACATTTAATTCTGCTTTGAGCAACGCAATTCACAAGTAATATACAAGGTGTGTCCCAAAAGTCATGATATATATTTCTTTCCCGCGCTCCTATTGGTCGGAGCGCGCTGGAACCGGTTGGATTAGGGGGGGAGGCCTTTAGCTTCACAGCGAGCCAAAAATCAGTCTGTTCGAGCATCGGAGGCGTCAGTATCGCTGATTTAGTGCACCTGTGTTTTGTGACCACGTCACGGCGCGCGATGGCGGATACTTTCGAACAACGTTGGGCGGTCAGGTTCTGCACAAAGCTCAACAAAAGAGCTACTCACGAACTGCTTAAGCAAGCCTACGGGGAGTCTTCTCTATCATATGTGCAAGTTACAAGGTGGGTGAAGAAGTTTAAGGAGGGCCAGGAAGGAGTGGAAGATGACCCCCGCTCTGGACGGCCATCAACAAGCCAAACCGATGAAAATGTGACTCATGTGCGTGATTTGTTGAATACTGACCGTCGAATGACTGTCCGGTTGTTAGCCGACACTCTGAACATTCCAAAAACCGTTGTGCATCGCATCGTTATGGACGAATTGAACATGCGAAAGGTGTGCGCCAAGCTGGTCCCCAAATTGTTGACGGACGAGCAAAAGGCCAATCGAGTGTTGATCGCGAGTGAATTGAAGGAACGTGTGGAAATTGAACCTCATTATTTAGACTGTGTTATTACCGGTGATGAAACGTGGACATTTGAGTACGACCCAGAAACGAAGCGCCAGAGTGCTGAATGGCACACCTCGGCTTCCCCGAAACCGAAGAAGGCGAAGATGAGCAAATCCAAAGTGAAAACAATGCTCATCGTCTTTTTCGACGCCAAGGGTGTGGTCCACAAAGAGTTTTTACCCCAAGGACAGACCGTCAACGCTCCCTACTACGTGGATGTTCTAGAAAGATTAAGGAAAAGGGTCATCCGCGTGCGAAAAGACATCGCCGCTAACTGGCGGCTGCATCATGACAATGCGCCCAGCCACACGTCTCTGCTCGTCCGTGAGTTCCTGGCGAAGCACCACGTGGCAACGCTGCCGCAGCCACCCTACAGCCCCGACCTAGCTCCGGCCGACTTCTTTTTGTTCCCGAGGATCAAGACTGCACTCAAAGGACGCCGTTTTGAAAGCATTCAGGCTATCCAAGCGGCCGTGACAACAGCTTTAAATGAGGTTCCCGTCGAGGCCTTTGAGGGGGCGTACCGGGCATGGGAGAGTCGGTGGAAAAAATGTGTAGATGCTCATGGACAGTACTTTGAAGAATATTAACAGTTTGTACCGATATCATCAATAAATAAAAAAAAAGAAATATATATATATATATATATTTCATGACTTTTGGGACACACCTTGTATGGCCTTAGGTGTAACACCGAATATTCCGCAGAAAATCAACGGAAATTTGCAGAAATATGTCACCTCCATCTTCAGGGATGAAAGGTAGGCCAGGCATGCAAACAGCAGGAAGTAGGCAGCAAGCAGAGCAAGCTAGTTTCTTCCTGAGGCACACCAAAGAAACTGGCAACCGCAACGCAACCGCGATTTCCGAGAATTGTTATCAGCCTGAGTTCAACACATGTTAATGAATGGAGCAGTGCAAATTGAGGAAACGGCAACGCAACTCGCGGAGAGACTGAGAAACTCAATTTCCATGCAATGGAGCATGCCAGTCTTCTCACAATTGCGTTGCCGCGTGGTTTCCTAGTATCAAATGTTCTGTAACGGGCTTCAGCTGTTTATTTGTTTGTTAAGGTGGAACGAAAAGTTGACGAAGCTGCTAGTTTTGTTTTTGTGGAGTTAATTGAGCAAGAGCCTGGTATATATGACAAACGCCACCCAGACTGTGCTAGGTAGGACAAAATATACGTGGCTTGGGAAAGAATTTCTCAAGAGACGAAGGAGGCTGGATACTGGTTAAGTTCTTTCGAAACAATATAAGCGCCTCGGTTTAACGTTTCGTGGATACTAATTTCCTTCGACAACAATGCTGTTGTTCTGTCGTTTCGTGGATACTGATTTCCTTCGACAATAATGCTGTTATTCTGTCGTTTCGTGGATAGTATTAGACAATAATGCTCTTATTATGTCATTGCTAGGATACTGACCAGAACTTTTTGTTCTCAACTTACAAGACA